TGATCCTTTTTTCACTTCATAAAGATCCTGCTATTTCTTCTAATAAAATCACACATTGCTCCAGCAGATAACTGTATGATAACAAGCAAAAACCAGATTGAGCCTGAATCACTATCTGTCTTTGCATGTGTTCATGTAGTACAATTCCAAGCACCATCTTTATTCATGAGATATTATCCTTGTTCTTAAACCTGATTGATTGCACTGTAGGTGACTGTAAATATAATCGTAGTTGTGCGGGCATGCATTAATCTATCAGTTCCTTTGCTTTCTGTCTGTGACAGCAGAAGACAGAGCAACACAATGCCACTCTATAGAGCATTACAGCACCACAATAACAATAGCCACTAGTGTTCCAAGTGCCAGGTAGTGACTCACACATGACCTAAGTAGGCCTTTACCAGTGCTGGTAGAGTAATGATGTGAATACTGTAAGTCTGTGGCATTTTACTGTATGCTTACAAAGAAGACAACAGAGGGAGACGAGTGCACTAGTTACATTGTAAATAATGAATGGAGTGCTTCAAAGTGGCTTCGAGGTATGGTGTCAATGCAGTTCTTAACAATGACAGTAACAAAGAGTTAACACAGAAGTTGATTACATGAAAGTGAATTAATGAGTGTATCATTTACAAGGAGGCGATAACTGCACACGCCACTGATGCATTTGAGACTTTGGGCAACACTGATGTGTGTCCAGTTCATCTCAGATCTGCTTTCTAGAGCTCTAGAGTTCCCTGAGTAAATACAAACACTGATAATTGTCTGTGAAGTCTTTTGGTGTGAGTGCTGTAGTATGTGTGAAGTGGGGTATAGTTCTTTTCTCTTTCCTTAGGCTGTAAAAATCAAGGGTACATGTGCAGAAAATGTGAAATAAAGACAAACAAACAAAAATGATATTGGGATTTGGTTGTTTCCAAAGTCAACATAACCTTAAAATAAATGTAGCCTAATGAATTGAAGAAAAAAGAAACGTTTTTCCTAAAGATATTTTCATAATCGCATATGTATGTTCAAGTTTTAACATAATTTAAAACCACTTTCTTAAAGTCAGATTCTATTCATCGTTCCTCCATTTATTCGATTCAAGTTCTGGCTGGCTGGAGCCCATCTGTCTTAGGTGCACTCTGGACAGGTCACCAGTTCCACATAGGAAGGCCCCAGTTGGCCTGTGGATTTGAACCCAAGATGTTGCTGCTGTGATCATCACATCATCATCATCACCCTGCTGCCAAAGTCAGATTCCTACATGCAAACTCTTACTCAGATAGAAGGTATCAAGAAATAACTCACTGTTTGTCTGTGTTAGACCGTTACATAAAACTGGAGGATTTTGATCATGCTTTTAAGTGATTTACTGCATGTCAAAATGTCCTGGAGTGCAGAAAGATGATCATGAAAATCAAAACTGCCATGGGTGTTTAATTACATTTTTGGATGTTATTGTGCCTTGAGCACCAACTAATACACATCACTTTACACTTATGAAAGTTCAATTTGCTTTATCAAAGAGCATAATTAGTGTGAATGCTTGAAAAGCATTCACAGTATTGTTCTTCTTTTTTTTTTTTTTTTTTTTTATTAATATTTTTGGATGGACAGAAACATTAATAAATAAATATACAACTGCAATAATCATACTGTCAGTTCTCTGTCCGTTTCTAAACAAACAAACAAACTAAGACAAGCAAACAAACAACACACTAACAAACAAAAAAAAAAAAAAAAAAAAAAAAAAAAAAAAAGCTTAAATAAATAAATAAAATAAATAAAACCCAGGAGAAACAAAATAATACACCGCCTCCTGGAAAACATCAGCAAAAACAAAAACGAATAAGGGTAAAACCCCCTGGTGCAAAAAAAAAAAAAAAAAAAAAAAAAAAAGGACAACAACCTAAATACCAATGACACATGAAATATCCCTCTAAGAGACCATTTATCATAATGTCTAAGAGACATTGTCAATGTACCGCAAACAGGGACCCCAGACCTGCTCAAAAATATCTTCTCTTCCCTTCATTCTATACATAACCCGTTCATATGATGCCATCCTAGACATTTGTTCGGTCCATTCCTTGAAAGAACAGGGGCTGGAAGACTTCCAATGCCTAAGAATTACCCTGCAACCAGTTATAAAAGCCAGACGCATCCACAATCTCTGTTTTTTTGAGAGAATGTTATCGTCAGGTAGTAGGCCCAGGACGCATATAGCTGGAGATTTAGAAAGATTAAGTTTAAAAATATCATTCACCAAGTTGATGATCCCATCCCACAAATAATCATTTTTCCGACATGTATACAACATATGAACTAGAGTCCCGACTTCCTGTTGACATTTCCAACAAATGTCCTTATCTGCGAGCTTCAACCTGACTAATTTACTGGGTGTCCAATAGTTTCTGTGAAGCAACTTGTACTGGATAAGTTGAGACTGTGTTTCAGGTGAGCAAACATGCCATGATGAGATCAGCATCTTCCAACTGTCCTCTGAGATCTGGATACCCAGATCTTTCTCCCAACACCGCCTCAGTCCCCCCAAACTGGGAGCGTGTGCCTCTCTGAAGCTCCCATAAAATTTAGATGCCCTGATTCTGTTATTGTCAGGGGTTGCAAACATCTTCTGAACACTAGATGGAGGGTCTAGATTATTTTTCAAAATGGCTTTAATACAATGTCTTATTTGAAAAAACCTCCAAATTTCCCTTGGATCCAAATTGAATTCTCGTCTGATTTCTGCAAACGATTTCATGCCAGTCTGCCCAAATAGGTCCCCCATCTGATTAATACCTGTCCTAGCCCAGGCCTCCCACCAGACCGGTTTCTTACCTATTAATACTTTCTTATTATACCAAATAGAGGCTCTAGCGGTGAGATAAGGGCTGCTGTTGGTATATTGGTGAGCTCTAAGCCAGGTCTCTTGCATGAAAGACAGTACTGGATCTTTAAACGGTACTGGCCTTCCCTTCTGAGTAAGGAAGGCCTCTAAAGACGAAGGGGCCACAAGACTTTCCTCAATCCTCATAATTAGTGTGAATGCTTGAAAAGCATTCACAGTATTGTTCTTCTAATCTTTAAACTATTTTATTATCTATTCCGTACGTTTTTTGTACTCTATCTCCTTCAAAACCGTTCAACTTAGAAAAACCATTCAAACACCGTTAGATTCCTCTTCTTTTGGACATGACTGCTTCTATTTTTCTCATTTTTAACATTTATATTTTTAAAATTATTCAACTTTTTTCAACAAAAATTTCCCATGTATTTCAATGGAGAGACGCTTCAAATTCTCATTCAACTTACTCTTCTTTAAACTGTATCTACTTCCACATACATTGACATAGAGCCACCATTCAAACTTTAAAACGAAGACAAGACGTTCAACTATCCAACTTGTATTTATCTTTTCAATATCTATTATACTTTTTCTTCAGTTCCAGTTTAAGTTTCATGATGTCTTTTCACCCGTTTCAGAGTTTATAATGGGTGTGTATGGGACGGAATGTTGGGGCTAGAGTGAGACAGCTCAACTGCTAGAGTGAGAGGAGCAAAAAAATTAATCTTAAAATCTTTTTTAAAACTGCTGCTGTGTCCACAGCGTTTACTGTACAGGTATGATTTTACCCTCAAAACGTAGCCATCACTGTCCTCTTTCATCCAATGTGTTTACTATTGTACTAGGTGTTATGGTTCTTTCATAAATGTCACCAATGCACAGCCTCCTCCCTCCAACTCTTCCATAGACTCTAATGTTAAAATGGCTCAGAAGGTTCGTTTGAAAATCAGAAGTACAGGGTGTCTTTACACTGTCACCACGTCCATATAATATACTCCACAGGCATGAAAACTGAGAATTCAGTAGACTAGACATTGCTGTCGCTCACGGTGAAAGAATTTCGTCAATACGACTTGTACTTTTCATTTGGGAACGATTTGTTTGGGGCTGACTTTTCTGTTCATTTTAAGCAGCAAAAGTGAGGCGCATGTCTGTGTCTGTGTATGGAGCCATTGGGTGCAGTCACTATAGCAACCAGGCTCACACCTGCCTGCTTAACGAGCTCTGCCTGCCACTGTGCCAAAATTCATCTTAAACACTTCTCTTTCAACTGCTGCTGTGTCCACAGTTTGCTCTACAGCCATCATTTTACCCTCAAAACGTATCCATCGTTCTTCTCTTTCCAACACCGTGTCTTTCAAAAGCTCAGAGATGTAAACCTTTAAAACTGTGTGGATCCAAGTGGAGGGATCACATTTTAGTCATTCAGTGATTCAAAGAATATGACCTTTTAATATTCATTCAGGTGTTTTCTGACTCTAAAGTTTCTTTTCTCATTTCTTAGATTTTTCTAATTTACAATTAAAACATTTTCAGCTTTTTTCCAACTTCTTCTTCTGTGTAACCTTCAGCTTTTAGCAGTTCAGCACTTTTGTTTTCACGTTAAATTCGGGGTTGTTTTTTTTTTATCATTCAACATTTTTAACTCAAAATTCAGCAATTAATTCATTTCAGTGCATACATTCAGATTCAAGCATTCACATTGCAGTTTCTTCAGAAAATGCACTTTCTAGTTCTTCTTGTTCTTTTGGCTGCTTTCTTTAGCGAAGAATCTTCTCTTTTCCCTCTGCCTAGCATCTCCATATTCAGTATCCTTTGTCTTATATAGCCACTATCGGTCCTCTGCACGTGTCTAAATCATGTCAGCCTTGTCTATAAACTGCTCAACATGAGCTGCCCTGTCAGTATTGCCTCAGAACCAGTCTCTACTGTAATTCCACCCTCACCTTAAACCAATCTGTCACTCCTACCACACATCTCATCAATGACTTGCTGATAATGCATATTTTTATTTAGATTTCTAAAGCGGCAATCATCATGTCAAGGTTTCGCTTAACAATAAATCAATCAATCAATCAATCAATAAATTCAATAAATTAAAAATAATAATAAAATGCACCCGTAATTGCGCATACTCGCCGCGAGAGGGAGACATTTCATGCGTGTCGCTGTTTCTGCGACGGAAGTGGGAAGTCAGAGGAGGCTGTACCTGCTGTACAGCTGTGCTCCGTGGCTAACAGCTAACCTCCGTTGTGAAAGTATCGGGATCCGCTAATTAAATAAGTCATCTCGACAGCCACTCTGAGACTCTGACTTTAACATGGGAAAAGGTGGAGGCACATTTGAAAGGCTTCTCGGTAAGTTAACAGCACATGCGTAAGTTGAGAGTAAAATAAGCAACTATAAGGCAGAGTGCGATGTTTTCCAGCGTATTGTTTTGACAGTCGATCGGGCTGTGGCTCCCAGGCCAGCTAGCTTTTTTTTCCTAGCCTGCTAACAAATTCGCTGCTATTGTTCGAAGGCCAAGAAATGCTAAGAAGTTAGCTGAAGCGAACAGTTTTAACTCAAAATCTGGTCCAGTGTTATCGCCTTGCTTTTAGTTAAGCTAACCAAAGCTGTTGTTGTGTTCCTGTGCGTTTCATACACGGTAATATACGATTAGCTGTTACTTCACACATTAACTACCCCATATCCAAGGAAACCAGGCAGACAAACACAACGCTGGTATTCGTGAGGCGCTCTGTTGTCCTGAGTTTTTTTTTAAAGACCACAACAGGTTGATTAGTTCGCTGACACATGTCTATAATTAGCGACTGGGATACTTTGTGATGCACGTATAGACCTACGCTAACGTCAGATGGCTAATAGTTGCTTTTACTCCATGACTAATCATAGAAAACAAGGCGTCTCTGTCATAGCATGTTTCAACAGTTACCTTGGTTTAAAACGAGTCCCAAGTGAATTTCCAGTTATGCAACAACAAGTTTCTTGGGCTACAAAGATGAGCAGGTTAACTAGCGAACCTGGATGAAAAATGTATACACCCAGTAAATGTCAAATTATTTTGTGAAGTGTCAAATGAATACGCAGCTGTGCATATTGATTACTATTAAACAATTTTCAGACATTTTAGGTCTCTTTAGTTCAGCTGGAGAGTTTTGCCTACTCTGCCAATGTAACCAGTAATAATTTGATATTTGAGGCCTAAATATCAAAGTGTTTGTATTAAAACCATCAAATAGGTTATAAATCGTGTGTTTGATTCTTCTTACCAGTGATGGAAATGGTTTCAGAATTTGAATCCATTAAATATAATTCCTGCCGAACTTATCTTTGCAGTCCCAACTTGTTTTTCTCAAGGATTCAAGGGTTTTTATTCCATTTCAAACGTGTGTATTCACATGAGTTGAAACTAAATTTAGCACTCAGGTCCCTGTTTAACGCCAGCAACAATGAGAACACACAAGAGAACAATATACAGAAACAAGGAAGAGAAAACATATTTACAGTGTCATAGAGAATGAATAATCATTTTTTAAGGGTATGGAGGATATTGCAAATGCACAATTGGTGTCTTTGTTACAATTGGCTAGGAGAAGTAGACACAGAAGCAGTCTAAAAGCATGGTGGTTCTGCTCTTGATACTCTGTGGCCTCCTGCCTGAGGGGAGGGGAACAAACACTGCATGTGCTTGGTGAGTGGGATCTTTCAAGATAGAGGAGGCCCTTTTCCTGTATCTGCTGGCGTAAATGTCTGTAGTGATGGGGAGGCCCTCAGCAGAGGCGTTTTCTCTGCCGTCCTCAGGACACTCTTTCCCCACAAATCTGCAGAATAGGTTTAAGACTGAGCTAACAAGTTCCTCGTACTGCAACCTCCTGAAAAAGTGGAAGTGTTGGTGTCTTAACCAGGACGGAAATGTTGTGACACCAGATAGGGTTTTCAGTGAGATGTACACTAAAGCTGGTGACCACTTCCACAGTTGTTCTACTGATTTGCAGGGGCAGAAGCTAGTCTTTGTCCCTTCTAAAAAGCACACTCATCTCCTTTTTTTTTCTTGAACTTGATGCAGAGATACTACACCTGCACCACCTCTGCAGTTGTTTACCCCCTGCCTGTAGTCAGAATCATTGTTGTTGTTGAAGCATAAATTTTACCTGACGTTCAAAGTATAGAAGCAGATAAAAAAATAAAAAAAAGTCTGAACTGAGTAATGCACACCTCTAAACCTATGATCAGATTCGCAGTTTTATAGCAGATGTCATGTGTATTTAAAACATTTAATCTTTTTAAATATATTTAACTCAATTAAACCACCATTATGTGTGGGTGATTGCTGAATTCACAGCACACATCCTTCAGTTTGACATGTAATAAGATGATATTTGGTTCCTAAAAATTGGGCAGTTTTTTTTATTTTATGATTTGCAAACAGGTCGTTTGTTGTGCTGAAAGTTGGATTAGGTTCCACTTGTATTTAGAAATGCAAATCAAGACCAGGTTTCATCTACTAAATGCATCGCAATCATATGCCAAACAGGATTATCACTTCGTGCTATCAGTGCTTTCCTGTTTTCCCCACAGTTCCGCAGGGCATAACAAATGTCAGACCCAGGACTGCAGCGCTTTGGCACACCTGAATCATATGCAAGGCTATTTTCTTTCTGACAGCTGAACTCACGGAAGCATCTGTAGCAATAAAATATTTTTAGTTATCCCTGCTGATGATGATATAATAAATAAGTAGATCTCTATTATATCATTAAGGTTTGACACCTCAAACCTTTTGTGTGGTAATAGTTTGATATCATACAAAGATCGATCTGGAGTCCTACGTTAATAGCAGGAGTACAGATGTTTCTATAAAGATTAAAGCATGTGGAAGAAGCGTTTGTTCATGTGTAACTGCCGGTGCAGTTTTGTGGAGCTGCTGTTGTAGATGCCATTTGACAGACATGCATGTTAAAGCTTCTGTACTCATGCAGATAAAGCCACCAGTCAACTGCTTCTGGAGACTGACTGGGAATCCATCCTGCAGATCTGTGATCTCATTCGACAGGGAGACACACAGTGAGTGATTCTGTCTTCTTCCCCTCTACAGTCACATCCTCCAGCAGCTGAAGATTTAATACAGCTTCGACTATTGTCTTCAATGTTTTTGAAATAAACATACTTGAGAGTTTGCTTATTGAATTTATGCCAATGATTCTGCATTAAGCGATATCTGTGTTTTTTGTCCTTGCAGAGCTAAATATGCCATTGGGGCCATTAAAAAGAAGCTGAATGACAAAAATCCACACGTGGCGATTTATGCACTTGAGGTAAGACGTGTGGAAAGTATACAATCAAAAATACAAAATCTCTGTTGCCTGTAAACATAGTTTGATTTTTGCTTTGGTTGGTGTGTTCTCTTGCTTTGTCACCTAACTGTGGGCAATAGTAGACTTGACATCTTTTGCGTTGGGTTGTTGAGAATAATGCAGCCTCACCCTTCAGGTCTTGGAGTCAGTGGTGAAGAACTGTGGCCAGACGGTGCACGATGAGGTGGCGAGTAAGCAAACCATGGAGGAACTGAAGGAGCTACTTAAGGTGACATTCATTTTATCTACTCCCTGTCTGCTCAGTTCCCACCACACTCTTTTCAATGCCATTCAGAGATGGCCTGTGTTGTCTTCTTACTGTGAAGCTTAATTTGTTGGCAGAGGTCAGGCGGAGTGGTTGCTTTGGCTTAATCAATGAAGAGTTTTAGTCTTTATTCAAACCTTTATTCAAACACAGGCTCCAGATTCCCAAAGGTGTACATGTTAGAGTGATGTTAAAGTGAGCAGCCACACAGTGGTCTGATATTAAAGTACCGTAATTGTCGGGCTATAAGCCGCTACTTTTTGCACAAGCTTTGAACCCTGCGGCTTTTAGTCAGGTGCGGCTTTTCTATGGATTTCCATGATTTTTGTGATATCGTAAGACGATTTGTTTTGTTTGTTCCGCTGTTGTACGGCACTACGTTGCCTGGCGGAAGGATCGAGGTTCAAGAGTGGTATGTTAGTCACATGTCCGTCCGCCAGGCAACGTAGTGCCGTACGAAGTAGCGCGAAAAACAAACTTCAAAGTAGCGCTACGCATTCAGCGGGAGGCGTGGATGACGAGCGGCGATAAACTTGCGAAAAGCAAGTTATGCCCAACTCCACCGGTGGATTCTGACAGCGTGGAAAAGTGTGAAAACATCCACGATCACCAACGGATTTTGAAGGCTGGACTGCTGCATGATGGAGAGGAGGACACTGCCACGGCCCTTCAGAGGGTGTTCGACTCTGACACTGACAACGAGGATTTCTTTGGTTTTGAAAGTGACAACGAAGGAGAGAAGCGGAGAGTGGATGACGAAGCCATCCTGAGCCTGTTCATTTCCGACATTGGAGAAGAGGACTTTGGTGGTTTTAGAGCGCAGGAAGAAGAGAAAGATGGTGAATGACTGACTTTTCTTCTCCGTGTCACTGCACCTGAGCCTAAAAGGTAGTCCGAATCTATTTTTCTGGTGTGCTGTAGGTTACTGTTATGTACTACATGTGCAAATATGTACCCATAACTTGTTTTTCAAAATATTAATAAAAGGGGTGTGTCTCCAAACAGCCATCTCTTTCCTGACAATTCCCTTTGTGCATATTCTCTTACATATGATAAGTCAACATTGAAACACCTGCGGCTTTTAGTCAGGTGCGGCTAATGTATGTACAAAACAGGATTTTCCCCTGATTTTAGCTTTTGCGGCTAATATTCAGGTGCGCTTTGTAGTCCGGGAAATACGGTAGTTGATACTAAATGAACTTTTTAAAAAACAGGTTTAGCGTCTTTACAGTGCTTCAATTATATATTTTGGCTGGAGGCTTCATAAGCTTTCCCCTCTCCTATGACTGCTCACTCTTTCAGCTGACTGGATTACAGCATGAGCTAGCAATATTTGATTGGATCCTAACTGTATCATGTGACACAGGCTGTATACCTCATGCTGGTTTCAACTTCCTGGTGATGTCATTGCCTTGTGACAGGAGTCTTTTTTTTTTTTTTTTTTTTTTTTTTTTCAGATGAAAACAAGGGACTTCCCACCTCACAGTGTTGATGAATTCAGTGTGTTATTTGACAGTAGAATTCAGAAACAGGGAAAGTAGACCTTTTTGCTTTAATTGTGTGTAAATTCCTTGACTTCCAGAAACAGACGGAACCAAATGTCAGAAACAAGATCCTTTACCTGATCCAGGCCTGGGCTCACGCCTTCCGCAATGAACCCAAATATAAAGTGGTTCAAGACACCTATCAGATCATGAAAGTGGAAGGTAAGCTTGAACGAGCCGAGTGCTCACATCTGAAATGAAACCAAAGGATCTCTGAAAGCTTACTGACCCAGAAAATGTTTTCTAACAGGCCACTTAAAACTGGGTGATACCAGTTCAGATGATTTGTAATGATAAAAAACTGATTTTATTGATTCAAATTTCATTGTCAAAAGGTACATCAGCAGCTAGAAGTTATTGCCTCTTTGTGATTTTTTTTTTTTTTTTTGTAGCTGTTGTAAAAAGATTTTCTGCTTTTGTTTGTCTGCAGGTCACGTTTTCCCCGAGTTCAAGGAGAGTGACGCCATGTTTGCTGCTGAGAGAGTAAGATATTTTGTGTTTCTTGTTTTACTGATGTGTGAAGAGAGTTATGTTTTTGTGGCATGTGCCCTTACATTGAGAAGTAGTTGAGTAATGTGATGTCTGCTTTGTTTATCTAGGCCCCTGACTGGGTTGACGCTGAGGAGTGCCACCGGTGCAGAGTCCAGTTTGGCGTTATGACAAGAAAGGTAGGCCGGGCCTGCTTGTAACTAGGCCACTTGGAGGTTTTATGGTTTCCTTCATTCATTTGATGCTGTGAGTGTGTGAGTGTGTGTCTGCGTGTATGCGGTACCTTCTCACGGCGCATGTGTGGAAATCAACCTCATTTTGTGTCCTGTGCTTTCCCAGCACCACTGTCGAGCCTGTGGTCAGATTTTCTGCGGCAAGTGTTCGTCTAAGTACTCCACTATTCCAAAGTTTGGGATCGAGAAGGAAGTGCGTGTGTGCGAGCCCTGCTTCGAGCTGCTTAACAAGTGAGTCCACAGATGTGGTGATTAAAATGTTAGAATTAGTGTGAAAAACAGGCTGTGTGTAACATGGTGGCCCTGGATAGTACAAGTGTTTATGTCTCACAATTATCTAGGGTGCAACAGATTAAACACAATGAACACGTGATTGATTTTATTCAAGGTAAAAATGATATGTAGCTGTGATATGACTTGTAAAAAATGATAGGTTAAATATGTGCAGCTGTGGTGCTGAGGTAAAATGCAGAGAATGTGTTATGGAGAGAGGAAAGAGGGCAAATAGATGTGTGGTGGAATGAGGAAGTGCAGGAAAATATTCAAAGGAGGAGGGAAGCAAAAGAAAAGTGGGATAGTAGGGGAGATGAGTAAAGTAGACAAGAGTACTAGGATGTTAGGGGTACAGCAGAGGTGGAAAAGGCTTAGAGTGAGCTGTATGTGAGGCTGGGCGCTAAGGAACGAGAAAATAATTTTTATCGACTACCTAGACAAAAAGATAAAGCTGGAAAGGATGTGCAGCACGTTAAGTTGATTAAGGGTAGTGATGAAAATGTACTAATGAGTGAGAGTGTGTTTTGAGAAGTTGGAACAAATACCATTAAAGAAAAACACGGAAAGACTTCTAATGAAAAAATGGTATGTAGATATATGAAGATAATGCCGGTTTTAAAAATAAACTATGTAAACGTATGCAAATGGTGTCTGCGACTGTGTAACGTGTTCTGAGGCATGTTTGCACATGTTTGGCAGCTGATACTGAAAGACTGCTGGTAACACTGGGTGAAACATGCTGTGTAGTCAACTGCTCCAAGCAGTCGTTAAATTGTCTCACTCGCAGCTGGTAATTCACAGGACAATGCAGAAAGATTTTAGCTGGACGTGTCAAGCTAAAATCAGGAAGTACTTAGTATGCTGCAACATGAGTAGTTAAGTTTTTTTTCTAAAAAGAAAAGAAATACATGGATTGTGAAAACATGCAGACTATGTTTGTGAGCCTGTCTAGTAAGTAAGTAAAGTTTATAAGGCTTTTCACAAGACATGTTGTCACAAAGTGCTGTGCAAACAGAATAATTATAATGAAATATGATAGAAAATTAAAATACAGTTAATAGCAATACAAAACCAGGCTCAAAATAAAATGGAGATGATTAATAAACAGTGTCAACAAGAGCTTGTTTAATACGTTTTTAACTGATGTCTATCAGAATGAACAGCTCAGAAAGCAGTTCAGTTTCCTTCTTTTGGCATCAGAAGAAAGTAAGAAAAGCGCTGGCTTTTAAAATGGACTGAAGCAAAGTGGAAAAGTGTTCTGTTGTCAGATGAATTGAAATTTGAAATTCTTTTTGGAAAACATGAATATTATATCCTCTGGACTGAAGAGGAGGTGGTTTGCTATCAGTGGTCAGTTGCATTCTTGATGGTACTGGGGACCTGGCAGCCTGCACATCTGGAAAGGCATTATCGGCACTGAACGTTTTTTAGAACAACATACGCTCCTAGCCAAATGACGTCTTTTTCAGGGAAGGCTTTGCAAGACAGTAGTTGAAGAATATGCCTGCACTCCATACCTTTCACTGATTGAAAGCAGCAAAGAACACCTAGAATCCCACATCACACAGGAATTGGACAGCATTCCTTAAGAAAAATGTTTAAGTGCAAAAGAAAATAATAAATAATACTGTATTATAAAATAAGTTATGCAAACAACATAAAACGCCTTGTTTTATGTTGTAAATAACATTTTAATTTATGCCTTATAAATTAAAATGTTATTTCCTTATTATAAAACTTTCTTAAATTAGTAGCAATAAAACAAGTTCTGACAGTATTATATTTCTTGATTGAGGTAGCGCTAATGTGTATGTGTGTACACACACGTGAGCTAGTGAATGAGTGAGTATGTGCGTGGGATCCTTTAAAAGAGCATGTGGCGGCTGCAACAAAGCAAAGTGAGCATATCAACAGTTGTGGTTTGAGGCCGTTTTTCCTGCAGCAGAAAACAGACATTCTGATGATGATGATGATAATATTATTATAATGATGATAGTATATGTATGTGTGTGTATATATATCTGTATTTTCACTATCTCTTCCACAATTTGGGGGGGGGGGGGCAATCTGGACAAAATTTGTATGAACATCATCGCACATACAACAATAAATAATGTTGAAGTAATTAGAGATGGCACGATGCCACTTTTTTTATGTCCGATACCGATATCATAAATTTGGATATCTGCCGATACCGGTATGAATCCGATAGTGTATTTTTTCAATCAATAAAACAGGTTGTTGTTTTTTTTTTATATCTTGCTGCATTTTGTATAAGTTCATACTCACGTTTTAAAAAAACAAAACACTAAAGCTATTCTGTTATACCTGTATGCAAAAAATACACTGCACCCAAAATATTTCATAGTTCAGCAATACTGATCAATCTAATAAACCTGAACCTACACGATCCTCCCTATTCTGGTATTTTAAAGAGTACTTAGCAGAAATATTAAACAACCTAACTAATAGGGTTGTCAGCTCCCAGTAAAAAAAAAAAAAAAAATAGGGAACCACCCACCCTCCGCCTCGTGATGCTTAATCGACGTAATCAACTAGAAGTAATAAATCAGACATTAGGACATTTCAGCTTCGACTTCAAGAAATCGTGATATGCGTCTTCACTGTTTCCTGTTATTTATACACAGAACAAAGAGCTGATGAGCCAGATGTATTGATGATAAGGGTTGTTGTTTACTGTTTCTCTAATGTAGCAGCTTTCTGTATGTTAACTGGGGAAAAATACTTAAACACAAAAATAACAGAACTTTAGTGAATAAGAACGACAAACTAAAAACAAAGGTGTGTACCATACTTGGAAGCATTGTTTGTCAGTGTGTGTGTTTGGATGGAGATCCGAAATCCAAATGGGAGTAACTTGAAAGTGTTTCCCATGATGTTTTGTTGTATTGTTCTCTCTTTGGAGTGCTACTGTTGTTTCAAGCAGCATGCTTGAAACTCTGATTTACAAGGTTATTTGTCCTCCCTGATCCCTCTTCCTTAGCAGCCACCCCTCCCTCTCTCCTCCACTTAGGAAAGCTGAAGGAAAAGCCCCTTCCTCAGGCTCTGCTGAACTGCCACCTGAGTACCTGACCAGCCCACTGTCCCAGCAGTCACAGGTAATAATTTGAAACTCTTTATATCAATCACTGTCTTTCTAGATTTTTTGTTTTTGTTTTGTTACCTGTTAAATATAGGACTTAAATGATTTTCGAGTTATTATATTGTTGTTGTTTTTTTACATTTTAGACAGCTTTCTAGCCTTTTTGGAAAAAGTTGCTAAAATTGTCACACTGGAAATAAATAGTCATGTACATCCCATCATTCATTAGCTTAAAGAACCACCTTTACCAGCAATCACTTGAAATCAGTGTTTTCTAGCTGACTTTAATTCCCATATTGCTGTGGAGGAAATTTGTCCCAATCTTTCCTACAGTGTTGCTTTGGTTCACTGAGATTTGCAGGCAGAGCTCTCTTAATGTAATTCTACAGCATTTCAATCAAGCTGAATGTCTGGGCTTTATTTGTGGTCATTATGAAACCTTTAGTGTTTTCTTTTTCAGCTATTCTATTGTAGATTTGTTGTAATTTAGATGATCCAGTTGCAGCCAAGCTTTCGCTGTTGGACTCTCCTGCTATATATTTCTCCTGCTCTTCTTTCTCACCAGATGCCCCCAAGAGAGATGAGGCTGCCCTGCAGGAGGAGGAGGAGCTGCAGCTGGCCATAGCTCTTTCTCAAAGTGAGGCTGAGGAGAAGGAGCGAATGGTGGGTTGCTAAGCTGAAATGCTCATTTTTGGGTATGGATGTGTTTGTTTTCAGCTAGTATATAGAATAAAAGCTGACACACAGCTGAATGCTCAATTGCAGAGACATAAGAACTCGTACTCGATGTATCCCAAAACCGATCCCACCCCAGTGACTTCCTCAGCTCCCCCAGTCAGTACCCTCTACACTTCCCCTGTGGTAAGGCTGTTTCCAGCAAAATCACTTATACTCTACAAAAAATGTTTTCATGATTTTAAAAGCATGTTTGAAAGATTTTTATTATTGTTAAGCAAATTTTAAAATGCATTCTTTTTTGACTATTATGAAACACATTGCAGAACTCCTCTGCTCCATCAGCTGAAGATGTAGATCCTGAGGTACATGTGGTATATTGCTCTTCTCAAATGTTAGCAGTATTGCTGATTAATGGAAATGCTACACCGTGCTTTTAAAGCTAATAAGGAAATATGACATCATTCCAGCTGGCCCGTTACCTGAACAGAACATATTGGGAGAAAAAACAGGAAGAGGCTCGCAAGAGTCCCACCCCCTCAGCCCCTGCCCCTGTGACATTGGCTGAGCCACTTCCGGCAATCAGTCAGCCCGTGGAAAGTCACGTCCCTGTCCAGCCTGTCAACATAGTGGAGGTATGCTGAAGTTGTGAGCTCTAAAAAACCAAAATCAAGCTAAACACAAATGAGCCCCTGCTCATGGTTTGCCCTGTTCATCCCCTCTTTCAGCAGCAGTACCAGAATGGCGAATCAGAGGAGAACCATGAGCAGTTTCTGAAGGCTCTGCAGAATGCTGTCACCACCTTCCTGAACCGCATGAAGAGCAACCACATGCGTGGGCGAAGCATCACTAACGACAGCGCCGTGCTCTCACTCTTCCAGTCCATCAACAACATGCACCCACAGCTTTTGGACATCCTCAACCAGCTAGATGAGAAGCGATGTAAGCGTTGGCCTTGTGTAATTGTGTCCATGTTTATAGATTTCTCTCTCCACGTGTCCAGGCTCTGAACTGTGATGATCTGTGTCTTGTCAGTGTATTATGAAGGGCTGCAGGACAAGCTAGCTCAGGTTCGTGATGCTCGGGCCGCTCTCAACGCACTCCGGGACGAACACAGAGAGAAACTGCGTCGCGCTGCAGAGGAAGCGGAAAGACAGAGGCAGATCCAGCTGGCACAAAAACTGGAGATCATGAGGCAGAAGAAACAGGTACTGAACTGAATCTGTTCAATGAGAGTTCAGATATAATAGGCCATTACCATGCTCACAGGTATTTCTTTGGACCGCAGGAGTACCTGGAGATGCAAAGACAGTTGGCCATTCAGCGCCTCCAGGAGCAGGAGAAAGAGAGGCAGATGCGTTTGGAGCAGCAGAAGCACACCATCCAGATGAGGGCCCAGATGCCTGCTTTCTCTCTTCCCTATGCCCAGGTACACATTTTATACTCCATCTGGCCTCAGACTGAACTCAACCCAAGGATAATCTAGTCAGTAAATTCACTTGATATTGCAGAAACCAAATGTCTCAATAATAGCAGAAATGTATGAACCTAAAGAATAAATTTCAGCTAATGAAACATTTTTTTAGATTTCAGCAGGAGACTTTTTATGTTTTTGAACTTTTTTAAGTTCATTGTAATCTTTTGGTGAAATTTTAATGCTGTCTTTATTTGCTGTTATGTAGATGCAGTCTTTGCCCCCCAATGTCGCGGGAGGGGTGGTATACCAACCCGGTGCTCCGCCCAGCTACCCAGGCACTTTCAGCCCCGCTGGTTCTGTGGAGGGTTCACCTATGCACAACATCTATATGAATCAGCCAGGGCAGACTGCACCAGCACAGTACCAGGCTATGCCTGGTCCTACCACAGGTGAGGAGGTTCACAAGAAAAAGGATCAGCTGAAAAGACAAGAAATCTACCAACTTTGGTCATCTGGTGTTACAATTAGCGATATGATCTAAAATCTTAATCGTTCACTACAATGTTTTGTGTTTCCTCCCCCCTTTCTTTCAGATCCCAATATGGTTAATGCATACATGTACCCACCTCCAGGAACTAATGGGCAGCCCGCTCCTCCGCCTGGTCAGGCTCCACCCACAACTAGTCCACCCTACTCCACCTATCAGCCCACACCTACGCAGGGTTACCAGGTCTGACAAAGCTCCACTTAAATTTTCTGATTAATACATGAAATGCCACAAAAACGTTTAAAGATGAATGCATCTCACTGTTCTCTGTGTTTTGTGCAGAATGTGGCCTCTCAGGCGCAGAGTATGCCCCCCATGTCCCAGGCACCCCCCACTAACGGTATGGGTTATATGGGTTACCAGCCATACAATATGCAGAACATGATTTCAGCATTGCCGGGACAGGACCCCAATATGCCCCCCCAACAGCAGTACATGCCAGGCCAGCAGCCCATGTATCAGCAGGTCAGTTGTATATTTATGTATTTGAAGCTTCTGACAGACTAAAAGTTAATTGGTTCAACTGTCATTCACAGTTAACGCATGAAAACTTTCTTTATTTTTATCTTTGGTATTTTTATTTAGGTTATTTAAATGTCAGTCCTGGCTAATCTTCCTATTTTTACTTGTGCATTCATGCTGCTAGGTTGCTCCCCCTGGTGGCCCCCCGCAGCAGCAGCAACAGCCGCAGCAGCCGCAGCAGCAGGCACCTCAAGCCGTGCCGGGCAGCGCAGAGGCACAGCTCATCTCCTTCGACTGAAGGGCCTCACGCTGCTGGGTCTAACACACTACAGCTCCTCTCCCTGTTTGGTCTCTTTCTTCCCTCTCTGGACTCTGAGGATACCCTCTGGAAACACACACATAATTCCCACTTTCCACCTCGCTGTGATTTTTGTGGCAACGTGAAATATTGTGATGATGTTGCAGAACTGTTGCTCTCCTTGCCTCTCCCCCGCTGAAGTATAAAAATCAGGAGGGGTGAAGCTGCAATGGGAAGCGCCATAACCAAGAACCTTCACCCTCTTCCTCCTCCTTTCCAGCTGATATGTATGTAGTATCTCCTTATTAAATGAATAACTGAAGAGCAGAAATAGTCAGTGGTATTAAAGTTACAGAAAATATGACCATTTAGGAGATTAAAAAAAAAAAAAAAAAAAGAGAGAGAGAGAAGATGCAGCAACCATCCTTTGTCTCACATTTTTCTAAATCCAAATTTGCATGTTGAAATTTCAGTTCTTTTCTGGAATGGAAGCAAATTATTTCAACGTGTTTTAACAGTTTAAGAAGTGACTGAGAAACATCTGTATTCACTGTTTAAGATGCTGTTGGTATGTCTGAAGAGTGACAGCACAGTCAGACACCTGGAAAAAATCTCACTAATGCATAGCCAGTAGTTTTCATATCATCCCTTCTCATAATTACAAATTAGAGTCTTCTTTTTTAATGGGGGGGGGGCATTTATTTGTTGTGTGCTGCTTCAACTGTGTGTTAATATAGTTTCAGAGACGATGCAGGGATTAGCACGTTACGGGAAACTGTTTAGAAAATTAGCTGGGTGGTTGTTTTGTCTTCATCAATTATACTTAATTAACTAAATCATTAAAAATCCACAATTAGTAACAAAAAAATATTCATACTAAAAGCAGTCCAGCAGTTCTAATAGCATCTTGCATCCCTTCTGTTAAAGCGACTGGTGTTGCCGAACATCAAGTGCCATCACAAAATTGAAGCATATGAATTTAACCTGTAATAAAGTGCAAGTTTCCTCCAGGAGTCCCAGCCTACATTCTATTAGTTGTAATTTTCACATATACAGATGCCTGCATCGGGAGTACATGTGGGCACTCTTTCAAAAGTCTGCTTGAGTATCCAGAAGTGAAGAAAAGCTTGCAGAGCAAACATGATGTGCTGCATGTATGTATCACACACCCAATCAGTGGTTTCTGTAACTCTTCAGTTGGCATCTGTGAACTTCTTTATTCCAACATACTGATCTGACTTTGAAGTAATTTTAAAATTATATTTAATAAATATCTGGTTCTTACTGTCCACGTGCCTCGACTTGTATTTTGTAACCACACACAGAGGAGGTTTTTTTATTTTTTTTTATTTTTTTTTTTTAAAAGCTTTTATTCAACTATATCCATTATCAGATTGCAGAATTGTCTTACAAATATAAAGACTATAGACTTACACTCATAACTGATGTGAACTAATAATTTAATGTCCTTTTGGTATTTTGGCTTCTTTAGAGTTTTCTGAAGATGAGGCATTTGTAGTATTCTTCCATCTCAATCTAAAAGAAGGAAACATTACAAGTGTAAAAGACATGCTGCTGGGAGGTGGAATCGCCTCTAAGCCGAGATACATGACTTACTATCCGCTCCATACGCATCCCGTTCCCATAGGCCAGCTGTCTGAGCACGTCGATATCTGGAAGACCCCAGTCTGGATTCCTGTATGCAGCAGAACCAAACATGGTCCATATCTTATCCTAACAGCCAACCACATACACATATTACCAAATAGCTGCTACTCACATTTTTCGTAGCTCCTCATCCAGCTTTTCATTACAACTTGGTGTGATGATGCCATTAACAGCATACACCTGTGAAATGTTTTAATTTGACATCAGTTAGTAGGTTCAGGTTTATTTGTAGTGTAATTAACTATCATTACATACCCCATATGTTATCAAAAGGCCGTTTTGTTTGAGGATCTGTCCTGCTCCACTGAACACTCCCTGAGAAAATGATAAGTAAATAAAATACTGTGGGGATATATCTCAAGCTCTTCAGTTGATTTATAAGCAACCAGGCCTACCTGGGCTGTTTTGAAGGAGCTGTATTGCAGTAAATTAATGGAAATAATAACGTCACAGGAGTTGTGACTCAGTCCTGCCCATTTCTCCCACGGATCACTGGCATCCAGGTGAACAGGTGGTAGCACCGTCTTTGCTTGGGTTGCAGCAATATATGCCTTGATACTGCCAACAAGGTGTGTACGAGCTTCATTTTAGATTTAATGTCAAATCCATAGACTTCAACAAATCACTTGTTTAAATAGATCATTGATTTAACTGGAATATGTTCGTAAATCTTTCTGTCACACATAACTATACTGACACGTCAACATGGCAAGCACTTTCTGAAAGGCACAAACCTCTCTAGAGAATCCTCTTTGATGTCTGATGGCTGCCAAATGACAAAGGGCATCTTCTGAGCAAACCGTATGATATGCTGGCCAGTTCCAGAACCAAGCTCTAAAGCAAATAACTGCCTGTGTGACTGGCTCTCCAACACATCTTCGAGCACTGAACAAACACTCTCCCAGTTCCTTTCAGCCTGAGGAGACAGCAGCATGGCCTGAAGGAAAAAGAAAAGAAAAGATGTGTGCCTCTTTTATCTAGCATTGCACTCCCATGCATTGCATTGTTCTCTTAGCGGATGCTTCTTACCTTTTATTTGCACTGGCGATAAAGGCCAGTGGAGGGAATGGCATGTTGGTGGAAGACAGTAGCAGCAGATGGGTGGAGAGATTACCTGGTTAAGAGGATTTCCTTCATGCTCCTTCCCAGTGTCCAAGTGCCCAGCATTGGTACACTACAGGTAGGACATATGCACATGCACAGCAAATAATAGGACAGCTATAGTCTTGAGTCTACTTTGCTTGCAAGGAGCCAGTCCACTTTACATTTTTAAAGTGGTCTTGACCAATAATTCTCCAATTCTGACTTTTCACTCATTTACTATTTTTTTCTTTTCTTTTGTTAAGCCTTGTTAAGAAAGTCCAAACACAGGACCTCGGATCTGGATCTGACATGGTTTCGGGCTGAATCTGAGCCAGTGGTGTTGTGGATAATGTCAAAGCTGATGAATTCTGAACACAGCAAAATCCCTTCAGATGTTGATCCACTATGCAATTCCACCTGGAAAGCATGTGACTGTAACAGCTTAATTTTTGAGCATTAGAATGATCCCAACCACACTGCCAATGCAGTAAAGACACCTGGATGGAAAAACAGATAATGGAGCACTATGAGTCATTGCATGTCATTGAAGTGATAATGCTAGAGATGGAAAGATGAGACTGGACATATTATTATTATTATTATTCTTATTATTATTTCAAACTTACTTTCTTTCTGTCGCTCTCTCACGCACATTCATTGTCCCTTGTGGGCTCCCGTAGCAGTTGAATTGAGGTTTTTTAACAGTTCACGCAATGCATTGTGGGTAGGTCAGGAGTAGAGGGGACGCCATGTGCTTTTGAGGCAGAGGATCCGCTGGAAGGAGACGTGTGTGTGATATATTTGTCTGTTTCTCAGAGAGAGGACCACCGGCTCCATTTACCGTCGGCATGTTCTGCACCAGCCGCTGCCTCCGCACCGCGCTGCGAGTCGCAGCCAGCACGCATCGGTACGTAACAGGCGGAGTACACCTGTATCCGAGTGTCTGCGGCTTCAAGGGCAGAGAGCCGGCCACTGCTGCCGCTTAATTTGGATGGAGAACACGATGTTGTCTTTTTAATTCGTCTAAAGACAGACGATGCGCGTTGTGTGAGCACAGAAATGAGTTTAGTGGTTTGCAGCTGTGTGCTAAGTAGGTTAGCCGACGTTAAGGGTTCCATCGCAGGCTTCAACTTGAACAACGTGACCAATTGAGCCCTGCTGTCCGACTAATGACACAAAACGCAGTATACCTTCATGGCTTCGTCTTAAAAAAAATCTAAGAGAAGCATGGCTTTGACCTTTTTTTTTCTTGGTCAAATGGGACTTTTCTGGTATTTGACAGTAGTAAAAATACTCTGGGTGATTTTTTTTTAAAACATTTTTTATAGCTTGATAGGCTACATTACCCTGTTAAAACTGACTAGTTTTAACTGGGGTTTTTCGGGAGTCTTGAGACTTTCAATGCCATGTGTGTAAAAGAGGCAGTTGTGTCTTAAAACAGACATGTCAAAATTCAAATTCAAATTCAAATTTTATTTGTCACGTACACAGTCATACACAGTACGATATGTAGTGAAATGCTTGGACAACTGCTCGTGACCTAAAGAAACAAAAAAAGGAAAAGGCTATGAATAAGATAGGAAATAAATATGAAAAATTAAAAAGGGTAAATTTAACTAGGAAGGAATAAAATATAAATTAAGGTTAAAAATGAAATAACTGTACAACACAAATTAGAATGAAGGGTAAATTTAACTGGGAAGAATAAGATAAAGATAAATATATAAATTAAAGTTGAAAATAAAATAACTGTACAACAAAATACACAATATAGAACTATATAAGAATGTATGACGAAATCTAATATAAATAAATATATACACAATAAAAGCAGCTGTACAAGTATTAACCGGAAATGAAGAATATAGTGACCAGTGTTGTGCAAAACCAAAGTCCAGAAAGTCCAGTGTGTGTGTAAGAACTGTATGTGTGGGTCAGTACTGTGTGGTGGTGTGATTGAGAGACCGTATCGCCTGCGGGAAGAAGCTCCTCCTCAGTCTCTCTGTGTTGGTCTTCAGGGAGCGGAATCGCTTTCCTGACCTCAGCAGAGAGAACAGTCTGTTGTTGGGATGGCTGAGGTCCTTCACGATCTTCCTGGCCTTGGTCCAGCACCGCCTGCTGTAGATTGAGTGCAGGTCAGGGAGCTCGGAGCGGATGGTGCGCTCAGCTGACCGCACAACCCTCTGTAGAGCTCGTCTGTCCTGCATGGTGCTGTTCCCGAACCAGGTTAAGCATAACCATGTTTAAGTTAATGTCCAGACTGTCAGCTGGAGATTTTATGATGTAAGCCACCATGGCTTGTCCTGGAGCGCTTCTCTCTCTTCATCCTTATCAGGACCTCTCAGCCAAAGCTGTAGTTTCCTCCAGTGTCGCCCTGGTTACATGGAGGCTGACTGCCCTTTGCACAACTATTTTTTTTTATTTTTGTATTTATTAAATTTTTTTTTTTGCCTGCAAGTACCCAGGGGTTTGTTTGGGGGTAAAGGGACTTAAATTTTGTAATCACAAGTAGAATGGGAAGCTTTGGGGGTGGGTTGTCCACATGCCTGACAATTTGTTGTAACCATCAGACACTATAAGTGCATCGTCTGCACATCCCTCATCCAACTGGTCTCCATGCAATCAATGAAGAGCAACTGCTCAGCTGAGCTGTCCACGTCTGTTATTGTGAAATTCCAAGTCTGAGATGTTTGAGAAGGCATGAAGAACCACCGTGCTGTCAGTTTTACTAACAGGACTGAGCTTCCTGCCCCCCTTCCACAGTGCATTTCTAGGTCTGCATACTTTCTTTGATTACAGTCCTGCATTCATAGAATAGCGAGGTTGCTAAACGATGATGGGTAACAAAGAAGATTGAGCTGATATATAACCTTTGTTATATAATGCAATTGTAACCTCAACAGGGAAGGTGTAACACAGAACGGGTAAATAAATTGCATCTGTGAGGGTTATAATTCAGTTGATATTATTATTGTACATTCTGCTTACATGAAACTTGATCGTGTTCCAAAGATTTTCAAGTTGGATATTCGTGTTGCAGAGTGTACTTTTGTAATAAACCTACAATATTCCTGAAATCTGTCCTTACTGCCAGAATATAATGGTTGATTTCTTAGCTCACAGGTACTTGCCGTAATGTCAACCAGTCCGCCCACCCTGAGCAACCGCTTGTGGGTGGCTGTAGCTCAGGTGGCAGAGCAGGTCAGCCACTAATCAGAAGGTCGGTGGTTCGATCCCAGGCTGCCACCTGGCTGCATGCCAAATATCCTTGGGCAAGATACTAACCCCATGTTTGCCTACTGGTAGTGGTCAGAGGGTCCGGTGGCGCCAGTGTCCGGCAGCCTCGCCTCTGTCAGTGCGCCCCAGGGCAGCTGCGGCTACAATGTAGCTTGCCGTTGCCTGTGTGTGAATGACTGAATGTAGTGTAAAGCGCTTTGGGGTCCTTAGGGACTGAGTAAAGCGCTATACAAATGCAGGCCATTTACCATTTGTGCCATCTCGCATATAACATACAACAAATCTCTTCTTACTATTCTTACCAGGGATGCGTGACTCTCCAACCAAAGCTAGCCAGTACCTGCAGAATCCTGCCAAATCCTTTGTGGTGTGGTGTTTTTGTATAGCATTATTTGCTGATGCAAAACTGGAATTTCAGGGTTTTTGCTTGCCAAATTACCATAATTAGTTTGAGCTGTTAAACTGCAAAGCAATAAGCATAAAAGTGTCCTCCAGGTGAAATAAGAAAGCAAACCCATCTCATAGTAATAGCTACTGTCTTTACACAGTGAGAAGCTTGAGGGGTTATTTGGTGGTTTGCAAATTGAGACCATTAATTATGCATAAGTTAGGCAGTCTGCACTCTAAATGTAAGAAGGATTGTTTTGTAAAGCAGTAGACAAAGTCAAAATATGGCAGTGGATGATGCCAGGTGTGATCCACACCATACTGAATATGTGGATACAGTCTGCCGTTTAGCTAACCGCTTTTCACTTTCCCAGGCAACAGCTTCAACGGCAGACACCAGCCTTATGTGCTCTCAGACTTCTGAAAACCAGTCCAGCCTCGTCTTCAGATGCCATCGCCACCCCTCCTCTAGATGGAGCCCCCAAACAGTATTCCCCCAAAATCCAGCAGCTTGTCAGTGACATAGCCAGCCTCACCTTGTTAGAGGTGTCCGATCTCAACGAACTCCTCAAGGTTTGTGGGAAACCTAAAACCACAGTGCACTTTGTCTGAGCTTCTTGCTGTCCGTTTGTGTTAAATGTTGAGTGATAACTTGTTTGTCTTTACCACAGAAAACTCTGAACATTGAGAGTGTCGGAATGATGCCGATGGGGGCGATGGCGACATTAGCTGCTCCTGCAGCTCAGGTATTGATAATTGTTTTTAAAGGGAAGTTCTGAAGACTGCCTTATAAATCATTAATGGCTTAAGTAGCAACATACATCATTATTCTTCTTTTTCAGATGTCTAGCTTAAGAATTTAAAGCCACTCATAGTTGATGTGGCCAACGAGGCTCCGTGCGCACAGTTAAATGACCTCGATTGTGTTCCTTTTGCAACTAGGCTGCAGAGGAGGAGGTGGCACCAGCAAAGAAGGAGAAGACTCACTTTACAGTAAAATTGACAGAATTGAAAGCTGCTGAAAAAGTAAAGCTTATAAAGGAAGTGAAAAACTGCATCCAGGGCTTGAATCTGGTGCAGGTAAGTCTCACTGTTGGAGCTATTTAAGCGGGCTTATTGTAGCTTTTGGCAAAAAGCAGTGGGCCGGTGTTAGAATGTGAGATATAAAATGTTTATGAGATGACGCTTTGGAGGTAATAATATGCATATATTATTACATAATAGTCTGCAAAATCAGTCCAATTTATTTTGTGAATCAGTTTCAGCTGCTTTGGTGCAAATGAAAATCTCACTGCTGGTAGCATAAAACAGTACATGCAGTCCAGCTCATCCAGGATGACACATCCATTCGTGCTGTTATGAGTAGGTTTGCTATGTCTCCCAGCATGTTCTCAAGAGTGGTGAGGTGATGCAGGTGGGCTGTTACACAAGGAAGGCTGAACAGGGCTGTAGAAGGATATCAAGGGCATCAGTGTCTGCTCCTCTGAGCAAAGAATTGTCAGTCCTACTACATGACCTCCAGCAAGCTCGTCATGTGCATTCCTCTAAACAAACTGTCAGAGGGCACGTGGGTAGCATGGGTTGACGTCTTTTAGTGGGTCCTTTGCTCACAGAGGTTGTCTGTGGTGTTGGCTTTGCAGTGAACCTGTTGTCCCTTTATTTGCACCAAAGTGGGTGAAATGCATTCCCAACAGTTTCTAACTTGACAGATTGATATGAATTTGTTGTATTGTGGTGATCAAGTGTTCCTAATTTCTTTCTTTTTATTGTGAGCAGTAACTACAAGCAAACATTGTGTATAGTGTAATTTGCTTTGTCTGCAGTGTTAAAGCTTCTCAAAGCACAAATTTGTTAATTTCACTAATTGTTTTTTTTTTTTTCTCCGCCCTCTTTATTTGAAACAGGCTAAGAAACTAGTGGAGTCTCTTCCACAGGAAATCCGGGCCAACGTATCCAAAGAAGAGGCAGAGAAATTAAAAGCAGCCCTGGAGGCAGCAGGTGGCACCGTGGAGTTGGAGTAGATCTCGTCTGCCCTTATGCCCACTGTTCGCCATCATTTTACTACTCATGCACTTCATCCTTGAGTTTATTTCTTTTTATTTGTTTTCTTTCCTCCCTTTTTTTTTTTTTTTTGTACGACAAAGACGTGGATCGTAAGAGAAATGGAAACAAATGCCTTCTGACATTAACGCCGTCCCCTTACAACGTCAGGTCGGGACGGCACAGCTGAGACTGAACTCTCCAGCACGCAGCCTTCGCAGATGTGCCGCCGCACTGTTTGGTGGTTCGCTTGTCTGATACACGTGTCACAAACAAGCTAAGGAGATTGGTTGGATGCAGAGTAACGCCTTTTTCAGACATGTAATGAATAACATTGCAGTAATGGCATTGTGTCAATCGGCGGTCATTGATCACATTAATGTTCCTCTGGTTTCTATCTGACCTTCCTGCGACAGACTGAGAGAACTTCTCTCTCTGTCATTGTTACAAAGAGCTGCATGTGCTGCGTGGTGTTGCAGAGAGAGCTGTACCCTACCCCCCCACATGCATGCTCTAAAAAGCTTTCTTCTGAATTAGGAAGAATGCTTGAATCATATTCCAAATTAGAAACGATGTAAACGTTTCTTCTTTTAATTGCATTCTCCTGTGAGCTGAGTAACTCGCCAAAGATGCATGCATAGTTGCTACGGTTGAAATTTATTGCGTCCAGAGGCGTGATCAGGGTGCTGATGGACACGAAACCATCACCACACCAAGATGCTGTCAGATCAATGGGAAGGAGCGCATGTCTGAAAGAGGCTGAAATTACTTTGTAATTCTTTGTGTTTAATCTTCTCACAAGGTTAAATCTTGTGGTTTCCAGGTTGATACAGATGACTGATGTTGAGGAGCACCAGATACTGTGTGTAGTTCAGAGAATGGCAGGGTTGAGTCCAGATAAATCTCATTGAAATGTTAATAATGTGATTAAAGTTGAAATAATTATTTTGCTCTTATGTGTTATTGGTCGTGTGGCTGAATTTATGGAAAACTTGATGAGTGTAATCAAGATTTCATGTGTGCTGTGTTGACTGAACATTTATAGTGGAACAGTGAATTTCACTAGATAATGCTTTACTGCGGTTGTCCACCAGAGGTCTTAATAACGCTGGATAACAGCACTTGCATGTCATTTTGTTTCTGAGTAAACCTTAGTGTTGAAATGAACAGAAATGAGTAGGTTTTCCTAAAAGAGGGAAAAAAGCTTCAGTATCTGTGATGATGTATGATTTGGAGAGAAAGTAATTTACGCCATTTACACTAACTGGACACTTAATTAGGTATACCTTCCTCTGAACCCCTTTTGCCTTCGGAACAAAAAACGGTTTTCATGAATCTGTGCAAACTCTACTTTTAGTTCCCTGCTCTTAGCTGGCATAAGTGGCAACCAGTGTGGTCTTGTGCTGCTGTAACCCATGTGCATCAAGGTCTGATTTGTTCACAGATGCTCTTCTGCATACCTTGGTTGTAACAAGTGGTTGTTTAAATTATTGTTGCTGTCCTATCAGATGAAAGGAGACACTCATTCTCTTCTGATATCTCACACTGATGTCAGAAGAGACCTTAGAGATGGTTGTGTGAGAAAACCGCAGCAGATCAGCAGTTTAGTACTCGGTCCAGCCCAGCTGTCATTACGAGCTATGTCACTTTCAAAGTCCTTTAAATCTGCTTTTCATTCTGCCCATTTAATGTCTACATGCATTTAGTTGCTGTAGGTAGACAGTCTTATTTTGTCTGCAACTACTTGGAAAAACAGATTAAAAAAAAAAGTCAGCATGTAAAGAAGAAAAATTATACACAGTTATTTTAAAACTAGTGTTGGACTGCTTTTCCTCTTGGAGAATCTGTCTCTTCAATGGGGTTCACATAAGGAACATAAACTGCTAACCCTGCACAAAATCACCTGCAGACTGCTGACTGTAAAAAGAAAAACCTGAAGAATATAAACAATTTCTGATTAATTATAGTTATAGGAGAAGGTGAGGAGTCAGGTGCTTTGTACTTATGGACACTAGAGGTTGCAAGGACATACATGTCAAGAAGTATGTAGAGAACATCGAAGGGGCTCAATTTCATACCTGCTATCATGGCAGTATAATGTTAATATAACAGTTTTTTATAGTGCTTTTTCCCAGTAGATATGTTGGCTAGTTGTTTTAATCAAGTAGTCTCAGCAATTTTTTGTAACTGAAGCATCAGGAAGGATTCAGGACCTGGGAACTGATGTGTTTTTAGCACAAAGAGTGCTGAGGATAAACAGTGGAGTATTTCACTCCTGTTGGATTGGTGAATATTCTGGGCTTATTGATCCTTTTGGGCTCCTGTATCGGTCCAGGTGTTGAAGATTGCTCTTATATCGTTTCACTGGTGGAATATTCCACTTTGATCCTGGGTGGAAGAAGCTTATCATTGGGGGAATATAATTAATGGGAAATCCCTAATGGTGAAACACCACAAGTAGAAGGATCGAGTGATTTCATTAACTCTGTTTCATTCCCCGATGAAGGTATGTGTGCCAAATCATGACGGAGTTTTGCTTTTAGTTTTTTTTAAGGTTAAACCTAAATGTAAATTTTAGTGCTTTGATAATTTAACATGTTTAGTTTTTATGTCAACACTCGGACTTAATCTATCGTGACACATCTAAATCTTAGAGAGAATACAGTCTGTTTTTACATCTGTCACAAGAACAAATGCAAAGCACAGATGGAGAGCAGGAAGAATGAAGACAGAGGTGTACAGATGAAACATGAGAAAGAGCAACGCAACATAAGTGATTAAAAACTCTGTGAAGAACATGTGAAAGAAATGGCTTGTCATCCAGTTTTCCTACAGTGAGGAGGGAAAACCCTTTAGTCCTGATGAGAGTCGTAGAAAATTGTCCTGGAGAATGAAAATGATACTTTGCTGTGTTAGTGATGATGGCTTCTGGCTGGGTCATAGCATTGCAAGCCTGGCCTGGACTGCTGAAGGAAGTCACCACATCAAATCAGTCGCAGGTTTCATTTTAACTCACTTTATGATAAAAACAAAATCCAGCTGTATGCAATTTAATGCAGCAATTTAGCATAAAGCAGAGGGCAGCAGCATATCACTCTCCTACACTTCAAGTGACTGAGGTCAGCCTACGGTCCACCAACTGCAGACATCCAGCATCAATGCAATATAACATCCATATAGACCTAACTCCTAGTTGGTTCTTGTTATTTAATCTCAGTGTACCCTTAAAGATTTGGATTCATGTGCAGTAGATTAATGTCTGCAGTCTGACTTGATTGCAATCTCAACCGGTGTAGCTACAGCCAGCAGAAAATAATGGAGCAGGCCTGCAATAAATCCTATCAACCATGAAGGTTAAGCCTGTTGTTCATTCAACTTCATTTTTATTCTGGACCTTGCAGTTATCGTTTTGCCCATCTCATTTATTTCACAGACGGTAGGCCAAATTGCAACCACCCCCAATCTGATCAAACAGCTCCCTAAAAGAGGCCCAGCAACAACAACTCATGTTAAAGCATTAGACAGAAACCTAAATCTCAGTTCTGACTATTGCTAGCTGTCATTACCCATTCCTGCCTGTGTCTGCTCACATCTTACCTTTGCTCCAACTTGGAGTGGGTATCCAGTTGCTGTTTGTATCATCTGTCATGAGTGCCCCCCTCTGAGTCAGCCCAAGTGCTGCTGTGCCAGGCTGGTCATTCATAGCACTCATTTAAAATCATGTCATGTTCAACAACCCAGACGGTTGCATTAGCTGTAGAAACTTTCAGAAAAGTATAAAAATAATAAATAATGTTGCTGTGCATCACTGACCCATTGTTCAAAATGTTGTAACCTTGTAACCTTTTGTGCTTATGACCTGAAGTCTGAATGCTATAATTAGACAAATCTATCCTTGACAAATATTTGTTTAAACTTCGAGACCTTTGCTCCATGTCAGTGTGTCGGCCACAATTTCAAAACTACAGCAGCGGTCAAGCCCGCTTACTATTTTTATATTGGTCACGTACACTTTCTCCCATGAACCAGCTGCACCCCTCTTCTTCTTGGCACACAAACATGGAGTAAGTACAGAGGGACACTCATTATATTTGTCTGTCCACTGCTTCAAAAGAAACAAAAATACAGATTTACATTGAGATGACTCCCGTCGACTTTTAAGATGAATTGTGGCCACGCATCACCAGAAGTGCTGAGGGGAAAAACGATGAAAGGAGCACCCTCGGGCAAAGTTGTCCTTTGAGCCTCTGAGAAGTCGACCCTTTGGTTTTTTCCCCCTCTAGAGTTTGCCTCACTGACAGCATGCAGGAGAACCGTGTCTCTCGTTGGTATTTTGGTGGGGTCTCGTCCAGTGCAGCAGCCTGTGTAACCCATCCACTGGATTTGATAAAGGTAAATTATAGAGCTTATCGAATTTGAATTAACACCAGAGCACAATCCTTCCATTCGGCAGAGACAAAATAGATCCAGATAGGCCTCACTGATGTGTCTATTTTGGCTATTTTGGTTTTCTATTTACTTGCTGATGATAAAATTTGGAATAATGTGTTGTAGCAATATTCATTTTAGCAGTTTCTTAGAATTTCACTTGGCTATTATGCAGCCAAATTGCCTTTATATTGGCAATCATTAGGCTTGCTTTGATTCCTTAAGGTGCTTTAAATGATAGTAACATTTGTAGTGTATGTTTAGTGGCACAGTTTTTTATTTCTTGCAGCTATTATCCACTTATTGCATTGGTTTTCTTTAATTTAGGATGCGGACTGAATGGTGCTGGTAATATTAGAGCGTGAGATATATTTTCAGACTAGATATTAACGGTTTTAAAGACAGGAACCTTACATATATCTAAGGCCAATTCTCACTAAAAGTGCCACTGACTCTTAGTGCTGCTTCCTTATGGTTGCTTCCAGGTCCACTTGCAAACACAGCAGGAAGTGAGGATGAGGATGATTGGGATGACTCTTAACGTAGTGAGAAGAGAGGGTTTTCTGGCTCTCTACAGCGGGCTCACTGCTTCCCTCTGCCGGCAGGTCAAAAACAACACTCATTTCCATAAAACCTTTATCAGCCGCACACTCTTCCTCTCTTTGACATAGCTGTTTTTATTTATTCATTTGTCCAGATGACATATTCTTTGTCACGATTTGCCATTTACGAGACCGTCAGGGATAAGATGAAGAGAAAAAATAAAGGTCCTATGCCTTTCCACCAGAAAGTCCTCCTGGGTGCCTTTGGAGGTAAATGGTGGAAAATAGCTTACATTTTATTTAAAGATGTTGTTTCATTTTATACTTAAAATTGCATTTAAAGATGTTGTTTTTCCTTCATCAGGTTTTACAGGTGGTTTCATTGGGACCCCAACTGACCTGGTGAATGTAAGGTGAGATACAGTGTTTATGTCTTTGTATCTGTTTGCACTTCACATGTAGAATCGAATGTATTTTTGTGGTTCACCACATAAAAGTCATAGTTTATATTTTATAGTTCAGTGCATCCACTACATTGCTGTTTAAGGTCTAAATTTGCTGTCATTCCAGCCGTGAGATAAAAGTGATTCATTTTCTTGTCAAAATGCTTTAATAGTTATAATAATTCTATGAATATTTAATATACATTTAAATGGAGATTAAATTGAAACTGAATCATGAAACATATTACTAATAAAAGCCTACATTTATTTTTAGTTTGTTCTGGTCCATTTAAGTGGCCGTTTTATTATCTTGAGCATTTTAAAAATGTTGTTTATAACTTTTGGGGTTTTGCGGTTTCTGTCCACCGTACTTTTGTGCGAGTGCTTGATGACCAAAAAACAAACAATAATAGAAAAAGAAAAATACCAAAAAGTAACAAAGGATACACGAACACGGATCACTTCATTAGGTACACCTGTCCAACTGCTCATCACAAATATCTCATCAGCCAATTACATGAGAGGAACTCAGT